CTTGGACGTGGCTCCGTCGCATCCCTGACTGTTGTAATATCCTTGTGTGTGCAGCTACCACCTGTCGAAATCGTACGATCTTATCGTGCATCGTCGCAGTTGACCGCTCAATATCGAAATGGCTGCGTTCTGAAGTCAGTTCTTTCAAGCATTCGGTGAATCGTCGTGGTTCACCGATCGCGTGTGTGGACACACGTTTACTTCTCTTGCATCTTGCCAACAGCGAGGCTGGAATCAATCGTACGACCTTGTTGTTTCTTTTTCTGGCAGACGATGACGTTGCCTGAGAGGCGCGTTGTCTGAGATCTACAATATTCTTTGGTTCAGTGATTTTGTGTGTGCATGAAGTATCAGCTGAAAGCTCGCCGGACAATATTCAACAGGTAGGAAGACTTGGATCTTTCTTGATGGCTCAATAAAGCCACTGCGCAGTTCGTGCATCGAGTTTTCTAATTTTCTCTCCTTTCGCCAAACATTTATTTAGTGACTCACTGTATAAACATCATACCAATTGTTCACGAACTTGAGATTAGCCAAGAAATCATTGACGTGATTGTATGACATGTCGAGAATCGCAAAAGATGAGAAACTCTCTCTGTACATTTTCAGGAGAATAATTCAATGTTATACGAAAGCTAATCTCAAGACAATTTGATCGACTAATAACGGTTAGATTAAAGAGCCATCAATAACCATTTGATCGATTCACCGCGAAGAACGTCTCCCTTTCTTTTTTTATTGACGCGCGCTTCCTTCATCACCCATCGCATCGTATTTGTATTCTTCCCCGCGTATCCTACCAGTAATATCGCATGTATGGCGTAACAACTCATTATACATAGAATGCTGGTGAGAGGAAGTTTAATGGCACCAACGTCATCGGCGTTCCTCGCCTCTTCGTTTTTCTTAATTATGCCTGAAGAAATTGCGGCTCTTGCATCTGCATAATTCTGTATTGTAAGCTCGTTCATCCTCCTACATCCTGATTATGCGCATTCGTTTCATTTTAACCTCTTTCCACGTTCGAAGCAACATCGTCGACACAACTTATTATTATCATCCGACTTTTATTATTATCATATCGTATTTTTCCATAAATTATTGGTACTGGGCAAAAGTCTCTTTCTTGGTCATTGCATTCTATTTTTGAAATTCGTCATTTCGCTTCATCACATCGTTTTTATCATGCGACATAGTACTACCAGATCGTGTAATACCCTCGCTGGTGAAAATCCCATTAGACAGCGAAAACTGAATGAAACGAGCGTTCGCTAGCACCGTCGGTTGTTCTGTACAACACGTTAAGAAGAGTGGCGCGATAGTATGACTCTTTATGACTCCGTAATTTCGCATACTCTCGCAATCACGCTGTGGATTTTCTTTTCTTACTCTCTCAGGAGAGATTTCGCATCAATGAGAACAATCAGTCACTGTGATGTGCTTAGAAAAATGCCACCATTTTCTCCTGTACAATCCGAGAAATGTTTCTTCTTTTTCTATACTTTTGCCATTGTTTCACTATTTCACTGTTGGGCTGTTTTGACATTTCAAGTTTGCCATCAAACTTTTGCGTACACATAAGTTTGTCGGACATCCATTTAATTCTTCTTCTTCTTGCTGTAAACATAATCGTGAATAATAACGAAGATAGGTTACAATCTCTTGGAAGATCAATTTGAGGCAATTAAATATACACTTGTACTCGAGTGCAAATTAGTTTTAAAGCTCATAGCATTTACCGCTTGCACGTCACCTTACAACTTTTTTCTTTCTGTTTCACACAGTCTCGGGAAGAGTGTGGTAAAACAATATGCAGTCGTGAGATTATGTACTCGCATAGGAACGTAGAATGTAAAATGTAAACAGAGGAATCCGAGAAAGTTTCGTCGTGCAATCTGTTAACTACGTAGTTCTGTTGAAAGTATAATGTTTACCGTTCTTTTTAGAAAAAAAAAAGAAAGAAAAAAGGAAATATATAATTCTGGCCTTTCAAATTTGATGTATACATCTTAGAATTTCGTGATATTCCAATCGACCTTGATACAAATTTTTTATCCAATTGCCATATTAATTATCATCCGTAATTTATATTATTCTCAGTTTGTACTTAGGAATCTAAAAGGAAATCTTTTTTTTAACCGTTTTTTTGATCATTAGCGATTGTTATATGTATTATTTAGTGTTCTCTCGTCAGTTTATAAGTTATCCCGAAAAAGGATCGACACGAGAGCAAGGAAAAAGTTAAAACATTTTCTCAAGATCACACATAGGATCGGGACACATAGGCGGCATTTAGAGCGCGAACAAGTAAACGAGCAGACACGTCGTCGTTAAGGACAACGACATCGGTGTTCACTGGAATGTCAACTCGTTTTCCACGAGCTGTCCAAGGATCGTTTTCCCTGCGTGGCTGTTTCTTTCCCCTCTTCTGTAACTCCATGGTTCAGCTCTTACCTCACCTTCTGCACAACAGCTACACAAGTCGAAACTCCACGCACAAGCGTGAGCTAGCTGTTCATCGATACCGTCCCATCAACTGGAATGTTAATTAATCTCTCCTCCAGTGTAACCGAATCTCTAAAAATTTCTAATTAATTGCATCTCCCAGCATATAAATTAATATATTAATATCGTAAAATGATTGATTGAAAGACATAATAAGTGTAAATTATTCCGCCCTATTTTATAAAACAGCGTTCTGCGTTTATTCTTATACGAAATTTATCATGTCTCTTCATGCCATAAAAATCTATCTTTAGCATTTCCCAAAAGTCGCAGGAACTTGTTGATTTCTTGGAATTAACGAACGAAAAATGTTGAAAGCAATCTGAATTCTATCTTGATGAGATAATTTCTATTTTTGCCAATATCGTAGACTCCGCGTCTGAAACAGAGAAATAAAAGTTAAGTTTCATTGAACACCGAGATGTAATGTATCTTACGCTATTCACGATTTCGTAACGACCGTGAGTTGCTTAAAAACAAGTGGAAGAGCGCGTCGCGTTAGAGATCGAGATTCCGCAGAATGTCAGGTTTCCACGAGAGGCGAGAAAAAAATACCCTATACGCGAGCCTTGCAACTCCGTTTCCTCCCATTCCTTTTGAAGACCTCCTCCTCCTCCTCCTCTTCTCTCACTCCAGCAGTGTATCCTCCCACTACTCGCGCTCATCTCCGCTAGTCTGCTAGTGAATTGCACCTTCCAAGTAGAAGTTGCGTACTTCATCGATGAGGCCGTTCTGAGGCCATTCTGAGGCCGCAGTGAGGCCACATTGAGATTCCTCAGAATGAGATCCGATCCCTGGTGTCGCAATGTGCGTAGAAACAGTTGCCGTAATCTTTCACGAATATATTAATTTTCATTAGCTTACACGTGCTCAATAGTTTATCTTTCCGTTTTTATTTTTCGTAATATTCCTCAATTGATGACTCGACCGCCCTTTTTAAATTCGTAATTAATAATTGAACTTCGTTTCAAGGCACACCGTCGAACTTACAGCAATTTTTAAAAGTTTTTGATGAATAGAATGTAAAAATACTGCTTTTAAGAAGATCATTATTTTAAAAAGTTATGCGTATTGTACAATATAATAAAACGCCATATCTTTTTTTATAGGTTACAAATATGATGTGCCTCAAAATGGAGTTTAATGCATCTCAGTTCCTTAACAATTGACATTACTCTTCTCAATAACAACTCGTCTACATCTTCGTTTCACTAAACCTTTGTACTCAGAATATTGTTTGTTACAACTATAATTACCATTTGCTGGAAACGTTGTGCCGCGTTGCATGTAGATATTTTTATATTTTTTCATTGTTATCTTGTTATAACATTAGTCAGCACAAGATATAACATCTCTTCGTGAGTCAACTTTTCAAGAAGATTATTTCTTTGGCGTTAAATTTCGCATCTTGCTTGATGAATCGTTATAATTATTTCTTTCACTTATCTCGATGCACACGTCTTTCGTCCTTGCTCCTTCCTCCCTCGCAGCTAGCTATTTGATTTCACGTTTCTTGTTTCATGAACTGCCTCTTTTTTTTCTTTGTTTCAAGGACTATCACTGTTGCAATAACCTAAATTAGAAATATTATGAATTGATAAGAATTTGTATCTTAATTTAAATAATTTTAATTATTTTGTCATCAGAAATTATAATCAGCAATAGAAATTATTTTTTGTTATCAATAACCAACAAAATACTTTTTTGTTGCCAGTAATCATTACAGAACAAAATTCTTTTGTCCGTTATAATATATAACCGTTTTTAATGTATAACGGTTATTCGTAAACAGAGCGCTTAGAAATTAATATCTTTCAATTATTTAACCTTTTTGAGAAACTTAAAATTCGATGATTGTTGGTTCTTCATAAAATTACCTTTTCCTCAATGGCACTATTCTTTTTTTTGCAAATTTTTAAAAATAACTGTTATTTCTATCTTTCGTTCATTCCACTCTTGAGCATTCCGCCATTTTTTATTATCTGCGCGCGCTTCTATAGTCTATCCTTGTTTATCTTACACAATTACGCTCTCACCAATCAGAGAGAGAAAGAAATATTTCACATGCCAGCTCACGATTCTTCCGATCGAGAAACCGTTATGATTTTCTTCAACGATCATGGGGTGTCTTTTTCGCATAATCGCAATCTTTTCAGAAAAGGAAAACACAAAGATAAAAAAACACAAAGTTTCTCGTTGATTCTTATTACTATATCATTCCGAATAGATAGAAACAAAAACTAACGCATACTTATGATGATGAATACGTAAAAAATAAATATTCTTTATGGCTTATGAATTTACGACACCGAATTAACACTGAATCATGAACTTAATTTCAAAATAAATAAAATATACGCTTAATTTGGAAAAATTAATACTCTTTTTACTCCACCCTTTATTAGTTAAAAGACAGGATATTCTGTCATTCAGGCCATTAGAGGGATTATCAATTTTATTAATTTTATTAATATATTTATTTATCAATTTTTATTAAAAAACAAAAGATTTAACTTTAGCCTTTTGTTTCTTATGGTTGTCTATATACGAATGCATATTGCAGAAAGTTCATGTGTAACTTTAATTAGTTATATTTATTAATGAAAAATTATCTGCTCTGATGTTACTTTCACTTACTAAGTGAAATATTTATAAATGTTAGCATTTTTAAATCTCTTCTTAAAAATTATCATCTGAAAAAATTGATTAATATCAGATAACTACTTTCGAAAATATAGATTGAAGTTACAAAAATTTTCATATACCTCTTTTGATTAATTAATTTACATGGAGTAGAACAATTTATTCAATATTGGTTGAACAAGTTTACACGAACGTCAAAAACTGACCTCGACTTCGCGTATATTTGCAAATGGTAATTATCCATTAGAGGCTCTAATTTTCAATGTAGTTTAGCCTTATAAAGCAAAGCAACCGATGAAAAAAAAATACGTAGTTGAAACGTCCATACTTTTTAGGAAAAGTGAAACGTTACAAAGATTCGATCAACGAGCTAAGAAATTTCTTCTTTTTTCAGATTATTGGCCTCACTGAGACGCGAAGGATTAATTAATGAAGGGTGCCCATGCCGAGCATCAGGAAAAATCAGCTAGAGGGGCTTAGGAGTTTGAGAGGAAAATTCTCAGAACGATTAGCTGCGTGGAATCGAACGTGAAAACGACGAGGCTGTGAGCGTATCGCCACGTTCAACCTTGAAAATGTCATCGAATACGTGTTCCATGATTGTGTTGAGACTAATCCTATTGGTATTAACAGTGGTATCGTTCAGAGAAGTACAAGGACACGTCGCGTTGACTTTTCCACGCGCGAGGAAGTATGACTTGGATTTTCTGGACAACGCCAGAACACCTGGTCCATGTGGAATGCCTCGTGGTGAGTGTTCCTTTTTTCTGTATAATTGTTATTTATATAGAGATGTCTAAAAATAAGTGGTTGAATTTACAAAGTACAATTTGTAAGGTGTATTAGTGTAATTAATTGGTATGAAATATAATATCGGTTTCCTCTCTTGGAGCAATGGTATTGCAATAAACCTTGACCTCCTTAGTTTCAAGCTTGTCAGGTTGACGTACATATCATTAAGATGGTGTAATAATAATAGCTGCTAGATGATGGTTTATTAAGATCCTGAAATTAATTAGCCAATTAGAACTATTAAAAAGTATAGTCTGACGATTAGGTTTAAATACATATATATGTAATCATGTATTTTTTATTCTAAATAACTATGCAACAATAAAACAGTGTCATATCTTATATTAGATACTCAAGGAAAATCTTCTTGTTGCGTTATTTAATAACACATCATTTTATAATATAATATGCTAAACAAATCAATCGTATCATGCCAGGAAACATGTAACTCAGTTAAAGATTCTAATTTTTTAACAAAATATCCAAATAGCAAGCGATTGCAAAAAGAAGCATAAGTATCATTGAAATTCCCTAGTGTCTCTTTTCAAATATGACCTTTTTTTAATAAATAAATTAGGAAAAGCCGAGTCATGCCCTTTCCCTCTCTCAGCAAACAGAAAAAACAACTCGATGAAATTTAAAACAATGCATCGTGTTACATAGAAACAAATGACAATGAATCCTATTTAATAATATTACCGATTATGCAAGTGAGCAAGATACAAGCTATATGTTGCACGATCCATGGACCAGAAATTGGCTTGTGTAAATTTTCGCAAATCTTCTCAATAGGAATTCTCAAGGGCAATAATGTTATCAGTTAGTATGAAATACGATGATATAGTTACGAAACGTACACAAAAGAGATAAAAGGATTCTATGAAAGAATAACAAATACGAAGGTATGCCTTGATGGGAACAGCTTGCCAGTCTGATTCGAAATGACTTTCACCGACTTGCACGAAGAGAACTCGAACCTCGGCTGCTCGGCCATTACCTTCCACGTGTTACCTCCGCGTTGCAACCGCACGTACCCCTTTTTTCTCCTCACGAGCTCTCGCGTAGTCGCGGAAAGTACGTGAACTTTAAATGCATCGTTATCCGGATAGAAGGACGTTGCTGGGAAAAGAATATGCTTCAGCTTGAAAATATCACCTCTGGCTTTTTACAAAATTACAAACGTAGAAAGATCCTTAGCAATATTGATTATGCTATTGTAGATGATATTGTTCACATATATAGTAGTCAATCTTCTGATCCATATCAATGGATCATATGTGTTTCATCTAAAAAATAAAGCCATTTTTATTATTTCACTCTCGGTTCGTAAGTGCTTCACTCGCGAAAAAGTAGAAAATGTCTATCGTAAGAATTTCAACTTGTTTAACTGAGAATACTGACCTATCAGCTACCGTAGTATCGTATTAATTATCCTTCTAAAATAAACAAATATATTGGATTTATATAGTTACAAAACTTCTACACACATGCATATAAATATCAGTTGTAATTCTGTGTTTCTCCAAGCCTATGTTGTCTGAATAGTCTCTCACAATTTAATCGACGGCAAGTTTAATACCGAGCAAGGGGAATGCGAGCTTTCTTTTCGGAGAGAAGTGGGGAAAAAGGAAAAGAATCCGTAAAAGGATTGGCCGTGGAACGTGAACTGCTGCTAATCCACTACCGGAAATTAATTATACATTGTGCTACTCTCGATTATTTCCGGAAATTTATTCTCAATATGATAACGATACTAACGTAAATTATTTGGCTTCAAGCAAATGAAGAATGTGAAATCGCTGGTTATGTTCATATTTGTTTTCACGATAACTAATACGATTATTGATACGAATAAGTATTCGCCTTTATGCTAGTTTTCTCTCACGCCTTATATGTAATTGAATTTTTGTAATCTTTTAATGATAAGAATTATTTCATGCTTTCAAAATAATTGTTTGCACGAAGTGCTGTAAGGAAATAAAACAAATCTGTAAAATGTTGAATATTTAATTGTATGTAGAAGAAAAAAAAGAAAATGAGAATTTACCTGAATATATCACAGAGTTCTTCATAGATCTACTTATTTATTACATATGTGATGACGGAAATAGAAAATGTTTATAGAGAAGTGATTTTTCTGCTTCTTTTTTTATTTTCTGACTAGTCGTAGATAGCAGTATTTGCGTTCAAGATTTCGCTGATCTTCCTGCACACATGTTTCCGGTGATTGTCATAAATTATGGTATCTCGTTACTCTAATGAATATTAACTTTTCATTGTTTCTAAGGTTCCCTATTTAAATCGATGATCATGAGAAATTACAAGTTTCCGTACGATCGTGAAAATTTGTATAGAATAGCGTGCGCAACATAATTGCATAATGCACTCATTTTTGTTTCAGGCAATATTAAAACTACTTTGCTATCTGGGAGTAACTTCAACGTCACGTGGCATTTAGCTTATCCTCATCGAGTAAGTACATGATATTCTTCACATCTTAACCCGTTTAATTAAGTATAGTAAAGAAAAAAGAGGGCTATAATGTTACCAACATTTCTCTATAATAAAACTCATTCGTTCTTCCGTGTCTTAAAGCGACTTTTACTCTGGTTATCTGAAACTGAATTTTGTTAGCCGGTGTTAAAGAAAAAAAGAAAGCTGTAACCATTGCACCAAAACCGGTAATTGCTGCAATATATGGCTTTAAGCTAAATACACGCTTACATTGTACATGGCTGGGAAAAGCTCGACAAAAATATAGGTACTTGCAGTTGTTCAAAGAAAAAAAAAGACGTATCAACAGTTACGTGAGAAATGGATAAAATCATACAATACCATGCTTTATTATTCTATGGACTTTCTCCGATATGGAAACTTTCTGCATGAGTCTTCAGCTCGCCTGATTGTAATCTTAGTTGTTCACGTGTTACGATTGAAAGGAATTTGCACATACTTGACCAATCTGATTATTTGTTATTTAACTTATTATAATCTTTCATCACCAATGAGTCATTAACGCGATATTGCTGTAATTAGCACTCAGTAAACTTTATAGTTACTTAACCAATATGTTTTCAATGCGAAGATGCGATTATGACTCATTCTCCTGGAAAATACATGGAGGGAATTTTAAAATATTTCGTAACACGACTTCTCTTACTGTATTGAGGATTTAGAGATGTGCTAGAAGATTGAAGAATAATACTTCGTAAATTAGGTAGGAAAAGTTCTAGAATTCTTGAATGAATAAAATCAAACGCTCATTTTTGTATGATCGAGAATTGTTTGAGACATTACCAATCAATTATTGATGTTTCTATTTTTGCCATCGTTCCTCATATAAAACTCTTCTTATTTCTCATCAGTATACGTGTTACAATTAAAAATAATCGAAGATAAATCTATATATTTATCTTTTCCGAACAAAGGAAAGTCATAGTAGTAGCTTAAAACTTAAGGAGTGTTCGTGAGCCGAGCCAGTATCTGATTGGCGTAGCTGGATATTCATATTCTTCTCGACACGTCGCATGGACTGCCTCCAAGTCATCGTGAAAGACATCACGAATTTGTCCGCACGTGCTCTGTACAAAGGGGGGGAAAAAAGACAGAAACAGAGGGCGGCCTACACTTGCACGTCGCCGCTCAAGGTGACGCTCGCTGAATAATTCAAAGGTGAAGCTTGATGTAAGTTCGAGGTGCTTTGCGTATACCTTACGTAGATAGATAGGTCGGAAAAAAGGTGGTAAGGAATATATGTAAATCGTTTTGCATGTGAACGCGTACGCGAGAGAACAGCCTGATGCTCGGTGGAACACATTGGTATGTCGGGTACCGTAACTCGGCTGTCGCCAATGAGTCGGATCGTGCAAAACCGAAATCTTTAGATCCATTGCTAGAAAAATAGTCGAACTATAGACCATCAACTGTGAAATAAATCAAACGCTGTGTTAAAACTGAGAAACACGTAGCACTATGATAAATGAAACAATGAAAAAGTTTTTTTTATACTAACCTGTATTTTTACTTCATTATACGTTAATAACTGAACATTTACAGAAATCTTTTATGAATATATATGACAGGCACACCTAGAATATTTTAAAATGGAATTGTGATAAGATTCTATCGTGAAAAAATTAAAACTATGTGTAACATAATACATCCACAAACGTGTTTTTGCAAAAAGTTTTCATACACTTTGAGCCATTATATATGGATATGCAAATGTTTTTCATTACATGTATTTGTTAATATCTTTCTCATAGAAACTTCAAGGTTAGGTATTTCAACAAACTATTTGCTTATGCGCATTTCTTTAAATGTCGTTATAAATATCTGAAACGTAAATATCCGGATTTTGCATTTAAATAATTTCTGAGTAACGTAATTTTCAGTTTATCTAAAAACATATACATATTTCGAAACCACCTTTCGCGCCACGTCGGATCCCTGGCAATCGTAATCAACTTTGTGTTCGATACACACACATTTCCTATACAGTCATCATTGTGGTTTCTTTTCTCGAACGACTGGTTTCAAACCGGCGCGGCCATAAACTTAAATGCCTCGCAAATTTCATTCGTTAAAATATCCGTGATACGAGAAAAATTCGACAATATAACGCTGCAGCAACCGGCTGCAGGTGTGTACCGTGTGAAGCAGTACCACTTTGCAAAACTGCCTCTTCCCGTTCTCTTTCTCCTTTCGAGTCCCGGCACAATCGTGCGGACAGAAAACTTTCATCAAGTATAACAACTATCTCTTTTATGAAGTAACACCGATCGAAGACACTCGTCAGTCTAAAAAATTAAATTAATTAAGTCAACATAATCTTGTTGTCGTATCGTGAAATTACCGTGTTATTACAATCCTGAACTCCTCGTTAGCAGGAAACCAACTTAGGAATAAATAGCGATAGTAGTAACATTTGGTACTTAATGATGGTACTTAATTACATGGGTGGTAAAATTAAGAAATTTCTAGGGGGCAGAGCCAACCAATTTATATTTCTAACAAATTCCGTTTAAGAAGTTATCGATCGGTATCAATGAAAAATCATCGACAAAAGTTTTCAGGCTACGACGACGGTGAGGAATGCGGTTAACAATTAGAAAACGCGGCACGTAGAAGAAAACGAACAATATTGTTCTCGGGTAAGAGTCGATTAATAACGGTTTTATACCGCTGATCTTTGTAGGTGTCAGATTGACATCGGCGATCATTAAATTAACACCTGTCATTACGTCGCTACTCGTTGCGAGATACTAATTTATCCTATAGCGGCATCTCCCTTCCTATTTCCAATTCGACGTTTTATAAAACTGGTGATTTCATAACGAACACATTCGTTAATCACACTAGAGAAATTACTAAACTATGTACGATCTTTCTCTTTCTCTTCGTTTTGTTTCACTTTTTGAATACGACCAACAGAACAGAAGGCCGGTTTCTATGTCACAGATGTGCGATAAATCGATTCGATACCGCTATCTGCACGTACGATCGATGTCTCAACGTCCTCTTCACCGTTTCTTGCTTCCGACACGGTCGCAGTGAAAGAAACTGCCCGGAAGTTATTCACTCACTGGAACTAAAATGATATTGCTTATTATTTACCAGCGTTTCCAAACATAAATCAAACGAAATTAATGTCATTCTATTAAGTTGAAAATTTAAGTAAATTTAAAATATTTTCCACTTACCGCCATGTTGCGGATTGTTATTTATGGGATTGCCAACTTTTTTGGATGATTTCGAAAGACGTTATTAAAAAGGATATATAGACGATACCTTTTATGATTACTTTAATTTTAGGGTGGATTTCGACTGCAAATCTTGGATGCTCTTGATAGACCATTGGTCGACCTGACTCCTGTGACTAAAAATAGCGAGTTCGTAGAAGACGATGCCACGTAAGTGAAAATTATCATTTTACTTTAGTCTTTTCCGTTTCAATTTATGTTTGTCGTATTTAAGGAATGAATTATTGGTTTTCAGAGCGCAGAGCTACGCTGTACAATTACCACAGAATTTCACGTGCACGGACTGTACGATCCGGCTTCTTCGAAAGGCCGAGGAATGGGGCTCGAGTTACAGATTTTGGTCTTGTGCCGATATCGATGTAAGAACTCTATTTTTATATTAATAATAATAAAAGAAATTATAAAATGTAAAAAACGAAAAATAGATATAAAATGATATTAAATAATAACAGTAAATGGTAGAACGCGATTTGCAAAACAATTTTCCCGTTATGCTATATTTACGTTGAAGCATTCCATTTAGTATCGCGGTCCGCTGATACCTTATAATTTATTTTCCGTTAGATCATCGACCGAAAGTCCTACAGAGAGGATTGCAGCGGTCACGGTCGATATCTGCTAGGTCGATGCAGATGTGATCGACTATATCACGGTACAAGGTGTGAATTTAAGGAGGAATGTTTGGACGACTCGGACTGCGGTATTCAGGGCACGTGCATTGACAATGGCGGCACGACCGCGCCCACCAAGCATTGCTACTGCAACATTGGTTGGTTCGGGCCAGGTTGCGGAAAGAGTAAGCTTCGCCAAAGTCAATGAAAAACTCATTCTCACACTATAGTTTCCAAATTATTCGCAATCTGTTCATTAAGAGACAAAAAAGAATACATTAATTGATATTGAGATATGTACAAAGGAGAATTAAATGTGGCCGTGCTTCTTAGGATCTCCAATCAAAACCATCGACGTGGAATTAGATGCCTACACCATGAAAAAGTTCTCTGACAATTTCACCTTTTATTGGCGGATATTAAAAGAGAGCAAAGAACTGGAAGGCATTATGGTAGTAAATGGTACAAGTTGGATTGGTATTGGATGGCGACCGAGTGATCTAACGCCGGCGTGTCGGTCTTTTCCGGAAATTCAAGAACGTCCAAAGGATGAACCACTTCCACAGCCAGAACCAAAATCAGAACCAGAACCAAAAGCTGAACCCAAATCGGAGCCTGAGTCTGAGCCTGAACCTGAGCCTGAGTTTGGAACTGAGAAATCAGGCACCAAGAGAAGATCGGCCAAAGCTCACGATGTACGTTCATTAGCTTCGACTCCTCGATCTGACGTCGATGTTACAATCCAAACTAGTGTTACATATCGTGTCAGTACGAAGCAAGGTAAAACGTTTAAAATCAATTTATGTATGTATGTTTGTAACTTGTTAAATTTATATACAAGTAGCGTTAAATAACAATTTTATGTTTATACAGGACGTAAGAAGAGATCGCCAGGTTCTACAGGAATTTTTGCAAATGGTGTGTATTAGTATTATTTTAGGTATTAATTCCGGTATAGAACAAGAGATCCTTCGCTTTCTATATTTACGTAGTCGTAACGTTGTGGTACGCTTTCCAATGAGCAGTAGAGTATTGGCGTTCTTTTTTTTTTTTATATTTGAGACACTACGCACAAGGTGGTGGTCCGTAAACGATAAGTAGTAGGTAGCTGGCACGA